TTTCCCTCAGCTTTCCCTGCCCTACCGTTCCCAGCAATGGGATGGACCTCTTTTCCTCCAACAGTCTGTGTTCTCCTGCAGGCATGGGGTGGACTACCTGACAGGCTCATGGTGGCCAATCCTGGATGACCTCTATGCCTCCAACATCCCTGTGTACCGTTTTGTTCAGCGGCCTGGGGACCTGGTATGGATTAATGCTGGCACTGTGCACTGGGTGCAGGCCACAGGCTGGTGCAACAACATTGCTTGGAACGTGGGGCCTCTCACAGGTGAGAGCTGGGGGGCCAGGGAGCTGAAGAACTGGAGTTCTAGTGGGCCTGGCTCCCTGGGTCACCCCCTTCCCCTTCTCCTAGCCTATCAGTACCAGCTGGCTTTGGAGCGCTATGAATGGAATGAGGTGAAGAATGTCAAATCCATTGTGCCCATGATCCATGTGTCCTGGAACGTTGCCCGAACCGTCAAAGTCAGTGATCCCGACCTGTTCAAGATGATCAAGTGAGGAGGGTACAGATTTGCTGTGATGGGGGTGTGGTGCTTGGCTGTACCTTATTTGTCGGACCATCAAACAGATTGCATTCTCTCTGTGTACCAGGATGCTCAGGGGCATACATGGGTAAATCAAATACTGCTGCTGTGCTCAGGTAGTTAGTTGACCTTCTGTGTGGTATACGTTATCAAAGAGGCCCAGGCCATAGTAACATGGAGAGTTCTAAAGAGAGCAACTGGAATACATCAGAGAAGGAAGATTTCATGTAGTAGTTTGCACTGGAGTTGGGCTTTGAAGGAGAAGAAGGACTTGTTTCTATGCCTCTTGTCACCCTACCCCTAGATTCTGTCTGCTGCAGTCCATGAAGCATTGCCAGGTGCAGCGGGAGAGCCTGGTGAGGGCTGGAAAGAAGATTGCTTACCAGGGCCGAGTCAAGGATGAGCCTGCCTATTATTGCAACGAGTGTGATGTGAGTAGATCTTCCTCCCCCTCCTCCTTCCCCTCCCTCCCATCTCCCTTAACTTCTTCGTGGCTACTGTCATTCACTTCTCCATGCACACACAGGTGGAGGTGTTCAACATCCTGTTTGTGACAAGTGAGAATGGGAGCCGAAACACATACCTGGTGCACTGTGAGAGCTGTGCTCGGAGACGCAGCGGAGGCCTACAAGGGGTCGTAGTGCTAGAGCAGTACAGGACAGAGGAGCTGGCCCAGGCCTATGACGCCTTCACCCTGGTGGGTACCTGGGGCTGGAGCCTCCCAAACAATCTCCTGCCCTTTCCTTACTAACAGCTGCCTCATCTTTGTTTCACTACAGGCTGGATCCAGCAACTCCCGATGAGGCAGGACACCCCTTCCTAGGGCTGAGAAAATGTCACAGCCCAGTTTCTGCCATCACAGCACAGCCCACACCCCACACCCTGGGGGTTGGGGTAGGGGCCTTCCCAGGGAGAGGGAGGAGCCAGAGCCTGGAGAGGGAGGGGGCAGGGCTGAACCCCTCTCCCACAGGCAGCTCCCCCTCCCTTACTTAATTTATTCAGAAAAGGTTTGGGGGGGGGTCTTTTTTGTTTTTGTTTTGTTTTTGTTAAAAAAATGAGGGAAAAAAGAATTCTAAAAAAAAAGATAGGGGTGGGGGCCAGAGGATCCTCCTCACCAGCCCCACCCCTCCATCCAGCCTTGGCCAGACCCCTGCTTTCCCCCACCAACATTGGCCTTTGTAGTAACAGATAAAAGGAGTGCTGGGGTTCTGGGGAGGATGATGATGGAGGGGTCAGATACGGGTTCCAATTCCCTCACTCCTGTCGTGGTCCTCTGGGGTGGGGGTGGGGGATGTGCAGGGCAGAGCGGGTGAGGTTTTTAACAAGACTCTTTGTATGGGCTTTATCCCCATCCCACATCTTCTAGGATTTCCCTTTTGTACTTTGGTTGCTCCCTGTGACCCACCCTAACCATGCGTGTCTGTCTCTTCTATTTGTTCACTTGGTTATGATTTATATTTTCTATTTTCATTTTTAATTTATAACAGTCCTGCTCTCTATTTATTCAGTTTTGGGGAAACAGGATCTTCCCCTTATCCCCTTTATTACCACCTTCAGTGCCATCCTCCCTCTTCCTGGGCAGTGGGTTTTAGTAGACTGCTCTCTGCCCCACTCTTCCTCTGTGTTCCCATCTCCCTGTGTCCATTTCTGGCCCCCCCCCCCCCCAGCCCCATGTCCAGCTGTTCCACTGTGTCTCTTTTCCCAATGCTCCATCTTCCCTAGGCTCTGGCCTTATTATCATGGTGCTCAAACCCCATCCTCCTCCCCCACCAATCCCAGATTCCTGCACTTTCTTGGGCCAGGCCCTTTCCCCCCCCCCCATCCCCCTTCCCTCCCTGGACCTTCAAGAGGGCAAGTGAGTGGCTCCTGTACTGAAGGAGTAGGTGTGGAAACAGAAATTTGCTATTGTACATGTAATGAACAAGAATGGAGGAAAAGGAAGACCTCTGGGCCATGCCCCCTCTGGCACCAGTTTTTAAAACATGGACTTTAAAATGAAACAGCCTGGGGGAGTGAGGGTGATGATCTCTGTGCGATTGTCTATCTGGAATTTTGTTTTAGTTTTGTTGGCTGTTTCTTTTTTTCTCCTCTGGCTGAGGGGGGCCCTCCCACCCCTCCTTGCCCCCCCCCTCACTGCACTGCTGCTCTGCCCCAGGGCAGAGGCCTCTATTCCCCACCCCCTACTTTTCGGTGAATTTGTGTGAAAATATTAATATTAAAAATAAATGCAGAAAAAACCGTTTTGATAATGGGATTGTGTTAGTGTACAATCTAAGTGGGCGGGTGGGATGGGGTGGGGGTGGGGTCTAGTCTAATCTTGTGGTGTAGTGGATGGGAGGGGCATGGCAGGAACAGATGGGTGGGGGGGAGGAAATCTGGATGGAGTAGGGGGAATGGAGTTGAGCAGATAGCCCCTACACATACATCTTCCAGAAACATTTGTGGAATGTCCAGGGCTCCAGACTCAACCTAAAAATGAGGGGGTGGAGGGGACTAATCCCAGAGCCACATTCCAGGATAAGTAAGGTGGGAGTGTGAGTGAGGAGAGGGTTGGGCCAGGGGGAGGGCAGGAAAGGGAGGATGACTGCTATATAATGGTTGGACACAGAAGTCACACAGCCAAGGTCTGGGTGCAATGGCAGAAGGCCCTAGGGCTCATCAGCCACCACCTTACAGTGGGGGTGGGGGCAGGGGCATTGAACCTCGAGACCCACTGGACTGCTGGGCCTGTGCTGTTCTGGTCACAGCCCAGAATCTGCTTGTGGCCGTCTTCAACCTCCTGCTGCTGGGTGTGGTGTTAGGAACAGTATTACTGCCAGCTATCGTCATGTTGGGCTTTGGCTTCCTCTGCCACTCAAAGGTAATTGCAAGCTCTGTCCTTGTAGCCTCTTTCCCATCTTCCCCTGGATTTTGCTTTACCTTTCGTTTGCTTAGTGGGGTGGGGGAGTAAGGTACAGAATTGAACAAAAAAAAACCCCAACTCTAGAGAAAGAGGCACCTGGCTAGTTAATCTTAGGCTAGATTCCTACATTCAGAGCAGAGATCTGTTAAGGAAAATGAGGGTTCTTTTGGGTTCATATTCCCACCCACTGATTTTTATCCCCAACCTGAAGGATTTTAGAGATCCAACCACAACCTTAGAAATCTGATCTCTTGTTGCAGCTTCCCACCCCCTGGGGTATCCCTGGATACTGAGATCCAATACATGGTTCTTCATTTTAGAGATCTTGGTGTCTGGGTCCCCCGCCTTATTCCACTTTTCCTCCATCCTAGTTCCTGCGCTCTCAGGCAGCCCCCTGTACTGCCCACTTTCAGGACCCAGGATTCACAGTGTTGCTGGTAGTGGGTTTCCTGCTCCTGATGCCTTTGCTGATTCTCGCCTTAGCTGGTTACCGCCGCCTCTACTGCCGTCTCCGCCTTGCTGACTGCCTGGTACCCTATAGCCGGGCTATCTACCAGGATGGGGGACTCTCTCATCCCCCAACTTTAGGAGCCCCACAAGCATCCCAATCCCTTCCTACTGCCATTGGCAAGGTCTGGGTCTGAAAGGGCTCTCCTTCCCCCAATTCACATAGGGTCCACCCTAACTCCCAACTTAAACCTCTAGAAGCCTGTGTTGTCTAGGGAGTAGTAGATATCCAGTCCCCACATCTGGATTAGGAACTCTAGAGATAAATTCCACATCTGAACCAGACTTAAAGGGAAACGGAATGTTTGGATTGGTCCCAATGGAAAACAGATTCAATATCTGGACTAAACATGAAAAACCCCATCTCTGGACAACCTCTTTCCCTTCCCAACTATATGGGACATTTGAACATGGGGGCTAGGTGCCACCCTCTTTGAGTTTTGGAACATCTGGACCGAATCTCCCAAATGTTAATCCTAAATTCAAGTTACTCTATGGGGCAGGAAAGCTGAATGTTGGAAAGGATGAGCCATTAGGTGTTTCATGAATAAAAGATTAATGAATCAGTCTGACTCAAATCTTTAATTGTGAACATCACTTTCTTTCTTAGGGGTCTATAAATCCGGGCAACTTTAGCTCTGAGCAGAGGTGAACTGCTATCTCTGGAAGAACTGTGGACAAGTAACCACTCCCTTTGCTGTTTGCAGAAGCTGGGAAAATCAAGGACTACAGACCTTCCACCCTTATCTTATCAGTAAGGTTTTCCTGGCCAGATCCTCCAAACCAGTTCCTGGGGTTCAACCTTCCTCACTCACTGCTGGCTTAGTAGATGGGAACTCCACCTCTGGCTCCCAGCCCTTGCTCCCCTTGGGACCCAGGTGTCCCAGCCAAGAGTGTTGTCTATTCTCTAACCCCACTCAGGAAAAACTCTTGTCTTGCCAGGCCGGGGCTGGAAACAATGAGACATCCAGGACAGGATGGAGGGTCCCCACACCCTCCCACTTGGGTCACCTTAAGGCCTTGGAGTATGTGTGTATGCATATGGTAGAATGGAACAGAGCAGCTATAGAAGGCAGGTGTTCCTGGGTTTTATTCTAGACAAACTGACTTCCACAACCAGGCTTTTTGGCAACCATACTGTCTGAAATTTCCCTTCCAAAGATTCTGTCCTACATCCTTCCCCATCAACCCACCCTTTTCCTGCTGAGACAATGTGGAGTCAGTGAGTGAAGACACCAACTTCACTTAGCATCCTGTAATGAAGAGTAGAGATTCATTCCCCTTCTTTCTTAAGGAGCTTGGTATAGCCAAATCTCCTAGGTGCTCAAGCCCAAAATAAAGTTGTTAATTCCATCATTTTACAGCAGAAGAAACTAAGGCCCAGAAAAGCTGTAGCTTGTCCATGATCCCACAGCAAATTAGTGGCAGAGTGAGGACTACATAACAGTACTTTCTCTCTTCTTCTTCCCAGCCAATTCCTCTTGGGCGGTAAAGGGAGGGAGTAGGAAAAAGGCTTATCTCATTGCTCTGGTTTCAGTGGACAGTGTATTCTTTGTAATGAGCATTTCTGTATGGGTCCTTCAAAACTAGAAGTTGGTTTTCTTCTCCATGGCCCAGAATCGGGGTCAGGAAGTTGCTGGCCTCCCTGCCACCCTCCCCACCCAAGTAGTACCAGGTCAATAGATCACAGGCTTTAATCAGAAGATGAATGAGGGAAGATGAAGTGAAGACAGATAATCACAGCTTCCCTGATGGCATTTCCTAGTGGGTGCTGAGGGCCAAGAGTCACAGATAGGGAGGGCAGGTCAGGCTCTCCCTTTGTACTTCAACAGAAACAATGTGGTGCCCAGGAACCATGGCCAGGCCCAGGACACGGGGCTCCCCAGCCGAGAAGGAATCTGAAAGAGAAATTGGGGGGATGTGAAGGGAGTGTCAGGGAATGTGCACAGCTACACCTAAATTAGTCATGGACTTTTGATCATGGAGAGTGGCCTAGGCTGGCAATCAGAAGACCCAATTTTTAGCCCTGACTCTAAGACAAACGTAGTGTGACCTTAGGCATCACCTACAGACTTGGTAAAATGTGGTTAAAACCTACCCCATATAAAAATCATAGCCAACATTTCTCTCGAGTTCACCAAATACTTTTCTTACAACTAAGATAGGTAGTGCAGAATTACCTCCATTTCTGGAGATAAACTGGGGCTTGGAAAAGTGATTTTCTTTCCTCAAGTCAGTCAAGTGACAAAATCAAGACTAGAACCCAGACCTCAGGCCTCCCAAATCAGGGTACTGCCCCCTGTACCCAGGCTGCCTCGGCCGTTCTTCTGGAGAGGAAGAGCCCGGGTTCGGGCACGCGGTCGAGGGAAAGGGTCGGATGAAGACCCGAGGTATATCAGAGGCACCCTATTTACTTGCCCAGGGGAAACCCAGGCACGGGGGCACGAGTACGGGCACGCGCACGCGATCTGACCCGTGGGCTTGAGGAACTCCTGCGCGGAGCCCAGGATGACATTGCAGTCACGATCCGTGCACAGGAAGCAGCCCACGAGGGTGCGCCCGTCTGTCATGCGAATGCGCATGTTCTTGTTGAGTAGGCCCTCCAAGCGCCTGCGCGCACGAGCAGCCACCGCCGAGTCTTCGCGCTCCCCGTCAGAGTCCTGTAGCCCGGGGGGAGGGAGGACACAGCGTTCAGCTAGCCGGAACATCCAGCAGAACTACATCTCCCAAGAGTCCCCACAGCCCAAGAGCACTGGAATGAGGAAAAGCTGCACCAAGGACTGCCGGGAGATTGTAGTTCTTGCCCTATCCTCCTCCCTACGCCTGTCCTCCCGTCGCTTTGCCCCCTCTCCCGATTCTGGTTGCCCCGCTGCTGACCCCAGCGCTGGAGCTGCTCTGGCGTCGGCTGCAGCAGCCGTTCTCCTCTCGCAGCAGTACGGTCGCCCCAGCTCCTGCCATCGGACTCCGGCGGCAGCTCTTCCTCTGGGGCCTCTCCTCGCTTTCACCAGAAGCACTTAATGCGCTCAGTCTGAAATCTCGCGGGAACTAGAGCAAACGGAGGGGCGGGGGAAGGGCGTGTCTCTAAGAGGGCTTAGTTCCACGCCCTCTTCTTTCTCGCGATACCACCCAAACCAATAGCTCGAGTCCTCCCGTTTCCTTGGCAACTTCCCGCTTCTCTAGAGCTCCGCCTGCCTTCCAGTAGCCTTCTCTAGCGGAATAAATCAGGCATCAGAGCCTCGGCCCATCCTCCTTGTATTCGCAAAGTATCGCGAGAAAACCACTAATCTTGACCTGTCTGTCAACCCATCTCAAGACACTAAGAATTGTCTCACCTCCTGTTGCTCTACTTCGTGAGATTTGTATTTAGTCCCAAGACTTGCCGTCAACTGCGGACATGCTGTGGCAAACAGCGTCTGTTTGTATGTCCCACTCACTTCGTGTTCCCTGCTTCCTATCTCCATTAATCGGGAGCTCCATTTTTTGAGTTAGGGAGCCGGACTACGGTTCCCATGAAGCTGTGCTGCACAACATTTCCCTATGCCCCCAGCTTTCTCGGAAAGGCAAAGAGTCTTTCTTTCACTCTGGCCTGCCACTCCCGTGGACGGTGGCCCGCAAAGGACAATGGTTCCCATGTCAGCAGGAAACCGCGTTCCCCCTCCCCCATGGGAGGAGCGGAGAAAAGGGAGCATTGGGGTGGGGTGAGGTGGATAGTGGAAGCACCAAGGGTGCACCTAAGAGGGTGCTAGAGGTAGAGAATAGAGTTTTCCGACTCCAAGAAGGGGGTGGTCACAGGAGTAGGGAGCTATGCTGGATACAGAAAATGATGAAATCTTTGAAAAGCCGACCCGGGGGCTCGTGGCCGGCCCGAACATGCGATATTTTCAGCGACGCTATTTCAATATGGCCGAAGTGGCCATGCACAACACGGCAGACGACCTGTGGGTAACCTACCTGGGCAATGTGTACAACCTCACCTCGCTGGCCAAGGAGTACAAAGGTGAGGCGTGAAGAGGTGTGGGGGGGTGTTTTGGGGGTGGGGGGGATAGGATATGATACCGAGCTACTATCTCCCCCGCTTCCTCCCCGCAGGTAGCGTGCTGATGAAGCCCATTCTGGAGGCAGCAGGACAGGACATTAGCCACTGGTTTGACCGCAGTACCGGAGATGTGAGTGCCAGGGTCCCCTGGCTGGGGAGAGTGGGGTCGTGGGCAGAGATTTAGAGCCTCCCCAACACGGCGTGGAGGGGTTGATCTGTGCCTTTACTTCCCCGAAGATCCGAACGCACATAGACCCACTGACTGGCTGCCTGAAGTACTACACCCCCAGGGGCCGCTTCGTGCACATCCCTCCGCAGCTGCCCCGCTCCGACTGGGCCAATGACTTTGGGCAGCCGTGGTGGAGGAGGAGCGAGTATGAGGTGGGGCTGCTCTCCTACAAGACCCGGCTCATTCGCATCATCAACACGCTTACTTCTCAGGAGCAGACGTTGGAGGTGAGAAGCCAGGGGGTGGGAGGGTGGGAATGATCGGGAGAAAGCCCCCACCCCCAATGGGGAAGAGAAATCGAATCCTCTCATCGGACCCCCTAGGCTGGCTGAGTGCCAGCCGGCCTGGAGCTCTTTTTCCCCCTGCATATCCTCCAAGGTTAGGGAATTTGGGGCAGATACCTTATCCAAAACATTCCTAAAATTCTTCCAGTATGCTGAAGATAACTAGAACTGGTCTCTTCAGTGGCCACTCAGGCAATAGAATGTCGAGAACTGTGGTTCCATTTGCATGCTGGAAGTCGTAATCGTGCTATAGACAAGAAAGTTGTCTTGAGCTACTAGATGATGATCTTTAAGGAACCAGAACCTTTGATTTTGGGAATGGGGAATGATGCATTCTGAGTTTTGTAGTTTACCAAATTAGTTTTTTGCTAGAGAAGTTGTGATTGTGAAGATAAGGCCTAAAGGCTTCTATAGTCTGGAATGTGTCTCTTGGGACTGACTGTTGCATTCCAGGACTTGTAGGCCTCTAAATCTGTTGCACATTAAGAATTCTATCGTATCTCCTCAGACTTTTCTTTGCCTTACCTGTGGGGTTGCCTTTATGGGATCCTTCCAGAACTCTGGCCCTTTATCTAGGTGGGGGCACTGGAGACCATGTGGGAAATCCTACACCGATATCTCCCCTACAATGCTCATGCTGCCAGCTACACTTGGAAATTTAATGGTGTCAACCTCGATATGGACAAGACCCTGGAGCAAAATGGGATTGCAGATGAGGATCAAGAATTTGACCAACTTAACATGGACCCAGAGCTGTACACACCTGCCTTGTTACTATACTTCAATGATGACCTCACTGAACTATAAGGAGATATAATATGTAGACTAGAGAGAGAACAGGGTGTATGGCTCAGTCTCTCTGAACTGGGGAAAAGGGGGAAGCCTAAATCGAGTTCTTCATCCTACTCTTGAACTCTTAACTCTTAGCCTCTGCTTTCCACCAAGGCCCCATATCCCGTGGGAACTCAGGAATACTTAGCTTCCATTTTATATAAAACACTGAAGATATTGGGATTTTTTTTTTAGTCAGGACCAAAGTAAGATTAAGTTCACCCAAGCAGCTTCTTTAATAAGGTGAGAGTACAGGAAGATTTGGGGTTTTCTTTTTTCTCTCCTGTGAAGAGGTACTGAAGCAAGCATTTGGGAAATAGTGAAAGAATCTTGCCTCAAAGTGAAGCATAGAGGCAGAGCAAGGACTTTAGGAGGACTAGGATACAATAAGAATTTCATAATCTGTGCCCATAACTGGGCCATCTGTTCCCTAGGATAATCAGGAATAACCATGGGTTTGGGGAAAGTTCTTGAAGCACATTGAAACTGGGAAATGAACAAACATTTCTTGAGCACCTACTTTTTGAAAGTTCCTATGCTTGACATGGATCACAGAGAAAAAGGAAACATCTTGTTCTTTTTTTTTTTTAACTTTTTCTTTTTTTTTTTTTAAGGCAATTGGCATTAAGTGACTTGCCCAGGGTCACACAGCTAGTAAGTGTCAAGTGTTTGGTCTGAGGCAGGATTTGAACTCAGGTCCGGTGCTCTATCCACTGCTCCGCCTCGCTGCCCTGAAACATCTTGTTCTTGAGCAGCTTACATTCTATTGAGTGTAAGAAAAACCATGTGTGTGACATCATCCATTGAGATTGGGCGTGTGCTCAGTTCAGCTAAATGTCATGCAGAAGCACTTACCTATTCCACTTATTCTCCCACTACATCAAATACCATATTCTGTCTGTCTCATACACTGAGATGAGGCTTTTGAGCAAAGTCTTGGATGCATTCTGGGGCTATGTCTGTCTTGCACTGGGAACTGTTAGATCTTGAGTGTAGTTAACCACCTGTTTTACTTGGAGTCACTGTTAGGAAAAAGATTAGAGATTCCATTCAGAAGCCAGTGGGAGCTGGAGAAAGGAAAGGTTTCAGCTAAGCAGTGGATGTAGAAAGGAAACAAACCCAGAAATGACTGGAGAAAACCTGCAAGCAACTTTCTCCTCTCTTTTCATTTAGACTTTTCCTCTAGGGACATGGTGAAGTAGGTATTTTTCCTACTTTGGAAAAGGGTTGGATGAATGTTGGAGATATCATTAGTAGAGGAATTTGAGAGCGGGGCCTACACACTGGGGAATATGCTATTGGGAAGGAGAAATACTGGAGAATGTGTTTAAGAATGGGAATGTGCCAGTGGTGGGGGCAAATGGGAAGGAAGAGTTGATTTAGAAGGAGGTGGGAAAGCTAATGGAGAGCCAAGGGAAACTTTACAGGTTAGTTCTAAAATGTACAGAAATGTCTTCTTTGTAAGCTCTCAAAGAGTGAGTCAAAGTAATTGGGATAAGGTAACTCAACCCATGGCCAACTATCTCCTGAAAGTCAAGAGTGGAGGGTATCTCGTTGACCCAAAGGAGCTTCAGGGTAAAATGAGAGAGAGTGGACTTCTTCCCAGAGTGGGAGATCAGTATTTTCTCCCCATATGAGAGACAGGCAAGGAGGTGGTTGGTATAGAAACACGAAGAGAGCTAGTTGAGCTCCTGTCAGAGCTAGATGGGAGTTTTAAACATTTTTCCCCCCTTTGGGCCAGTGGATGGGGTGTGTTCAAGGAAGCAAAGAGTAAATAAAGATGTCTGTATTGTCCTCGGCAATCTCTTTTATACTCAGCAATATTGTAGAATCTATTCTCAGCTCAGCAGAAGCACTTAATCTATACTACCCATTCCATCATTTCATCAAATAATATAGTCCTTACATATTTTATGTATATCTGCTCTTAACTAAACTGTAGGATCCTCAAGGGTAGAGACTAGATTGGACTAGATTATTTATCATTTTGTATCCCACCTACCCTCATACCACCTAACAGTTCTGAACACACAATAACTATTGTGGGCTGGGCAGGTAGTTCTGAAATTTGAACAAATGAAACATTCATGAAATCCATCTAAAAGTTAACAAAAGGAGACATTTAGCCATGGTAGAGAAAGGATATATAAAGCAGTGAAGGGATGTTCAGGATATAGCATTGATGCAGTTGAGCATAGCCTTTCTGTGTCAGTGTTTATCCTGCTAGCCCTTTGTCAAACAACTGAGTAGGGAGCTCCAGCCTCTGGAGTCCTGGCTGTTTTGCTCCCAGTGAATAGGAATAGATCAAGTCTTAGTGTTGTTCAGTTGTTGGCAACTCTCCGTGACCCTATTTAGAGTTTTCTTGGCAAAGATACTGGGGTGGTTTGCCATTTCCGTCTCCAGCTCATTTTACAGATGAGAAAACTGAGGCAAATGGGGTTAAGTGACTGGCCCAGGGTCACACAGTTAGTAAATGCCTGAAGCCAGATTTGAAGTTGAATCTTCCTGATTCCAGGCACAGAGCTCTATCTACTTCACCACCTAGCTGCCTTATGTCTTAATACCCTGAGCCAATCAAATCCTGAGGACAGTTTCAGTACCTTTTAATGAAAACTAGCTTAACTTGGCCCAGGAAGTGGAGACCTTAGAATATTGCTCTTACTATGGTGCTAAATAAATACTTTCTAATGAATGAATTTTTGTATGAATTGGGAATTGGAGAAATGGAGGTAAGATTGTGGAATGGACACACATGGATCCTCTTTTCCAATGTACCTTCTAATTTCTTCTGCTTATGTTTCTTCACCACAGTCACCACCACCCTCCCCCCAAACCATGGTTGAATCGTACAGTGAACCTCAGGGGCAACCTGCCTGTCATTGCTTTTCTTTGGCCACCAGGTGGAGACTGTCTCCTCTGGGGCTGGAGGAAGGAGAAACGAGAATCCTACCAACAGCTCGATAGTATAACTTTTATAGGTGGGATGTAAAGAGAGAGGAAAACAAAATCAGAGGAGTGTGTACGTTGGGGGCTCAGAGAAGGGGGAGTTTGGACATAAGATGAGAGAAAGGGGGAAGACTAAGTTCAGAAAGATACTAAGGCTTATGGGAAATAGAATCTAAAATGGATGAATTAAAAAAAATTATTGAATGTCTGGTATGTACAAGGCACTGTTCTAAGAGTTATGGTAGATGAAAAGACTAAAAACCAACAGTCTTATTGTGAAAAACAAGATATATGTACTAGGGGAAAGGGCACTGGATTTAATTTCTGCCTTTGGGTTACCTTAAGTAAGTTATAACCTCTTAGCCTCAGTTTCCTCATGTAAAATGAGGGGGTTGAATTATATGATCTAAGTTTTCTTCCAGCTCCAAATCTGTCATGCTGTGGGAAAATAATAAATAATGCAGATTAAATAAATGAAATCTGTCACATGTGGGGAAATGAAATGAGGCAACAAATTGTTAAATGACAAATGAGCAATACAAACTGAGTTTTCAAATTTAATTAGTTGTCATACCTCCTGTAAAGATCATTCTTTGACGGGAGGTGGTATCAGGACCAGGGAACCTACACTAGGAAGGTAGATGAGTGAGAAAACAAATTGAGGTCCTTGGAATTCCACACCAACAGCACCAAGGTAGTTGGAGAGTACTCAATAGGAAAGAAGGCAAACTCTTTGTGTATAAGGATTGTTTCATTCATCCCTAGTGCCTAAGTCCAGAGTAGTAACCTGATAAATACTTGCCAACTGATTGATAGGTTTTTACATTTTAGGACGAAGTCCCTTGCACCCCAATGAAGCTGTAAGAATGGATTCTGCAACCTTGGGAAATAACCTAGAGGATAACAGCCTTTTGAATTGAGGGAAAAGCAAGAATGGGAAGAAAGTTTAAGGTAGAGCTACAGGGGTAACCCCACCCTAAATTACAGATCTTTAGCCTTTGTGGAATGTATTTTTTTCCCTTTCTAAATGACACTGGTTATCCATTAGCATGTTATAGGATCATAGATTTGCAGTTGGAAGGTACCTTTTAAGTCATCTAGTCCAATCTCTTATAAGAGATGAGAAAACTGAGGCCCAGAGAAATTGAATAATTTGCCCAAGGTGTCACAGGTAGTAAGTGGCAAAGGTCCAGGAGAGGAGGGACTAAGACTGGTATAGAAATACTGATGAAGACTTTTAGTTGGAGGACAAATTTCTGGAGAGAGCCTCCCTCTCTGGTGATCATGCCTGTGGGTAAGGGCCATTAGGAAATAATAACATTTTTCTGTGAATTTTTGTTAAAGGAAGTCAGTTTTCCCATTGATCTCTACTATAAAATGAGATGTCTTCTTCAATGGAAAATATAATCTTCAGAATGTTAAAATGGGGCAAGTTTTTGAAAATGTTTTAAATGAAAACTAACAAAAACTACTAATATTCAAAATAATGATAATGCTGTGTTGGTACTGCTATGGTACTTCTGTGAAGCTGTAATTTCATCAGTGTGGGTGCTTTCACCCATACAGATCAAAACCCAACCATGCCTACATATCTTGTGTGACTCTAGTCCACTCCTTTAAATACAAAAGAGGGCACACCTAGAATGAAAAATAAATCACAAAATGAAAATATTTAAGTGAAAACAGTAGCAGTAACTCTAGCAGCATACCTACCTTACCCTGCCTTAAAAGGCCTATCTCCTTATCCACTCATACATTTCCTATATGATATTCCTCTTACTATTTCTGGTATGTAAGTCATTATTGAAAATAAGTTCTAAACTACTTGCATTTTTTCATTGCCTTTTCGAGTCACTGCAGTTTTGATTCTTCAGAGATAGTGATGGTCCAAGATTCACAGCCATTCACAAGTACTGCTGGGAGAATATCTGTGATAAAAAACATGGTTCTTTTATATAGCTGATTCAAATGAATTAAGCAGAACCAGGAAAATAATACCTATGACAATATAAGTGGAAAAGACCTTCTCCCCACAATGAAACTGAATGCTATAAAATTATATCAAGTTTGACCCCAGAAAAGACAAGAAAATGTACCTCTTTCTCTTTTTGGCAGAGGTGGAAGACTAGGGTATGGAACATTGTCAGATTTGATTGATTTGTTAGTTTTGATTAGTAATTCACTGGGCAGGGGAAAAGGGAATGACATATTTGGAAATGAAGTGACATGAAAGTGAAAGATATCAATAAAAATTTTGAAAGGTGGGTTTCTACACTAGGGAGTCTTAAAAGCATTGCACAATTTGCCAAATGCAATCTAGCTCACCCACTTTTTCCTGATTCGGTTAATTGCCCATCTGCAGTGCCTGTACTGTGTACTGATGAACTAACTCAGTAGATTGGCCATCCAACCTCATATGCAGAATCACAAATTTAGCACTGTTAAGGTATCTTAGACATCAACCCTCCTCATATTACAGATGAGTAAAATGAAGCCAAGAGAAATTACATGATTTCCCAAAGTCATACAGGTACAGCCACTGTTTAAATCTAGGACTTCTGACTCTAAATCAAATACTGCTACATCATGCGGCCTCTAGAGAATAAGCATTTTTCATCCACTTAGTTTTCTTATATGGATTGTTAGGCTGATCTTTTTTGAGTA